GAAATCTCAAGGAAAACAGTAGCTTATTAAAGCTCCGAGAATAGCTGCTCAGTTCCTTGTCAAGTATCAAAGCCCCATAATTCTTTCCCTTCAAACGACTCTAAAACAAAATGACACCTCTAAGGATTAAACATTTTGGAAACCTATAAAAGAAGAAAACATTAAAGCATGTCTGACTCAGGCCTCTCTTCCATACTTCCCTGTTTCTCCCATCCTCCCCACATAAGTATGAGTCAGGTAATGTTAACTTTGAATCATACATTTGTTAGTTTCTTTCGAGCATTACATAAACAAGGTTTTGATCATAGCTTATGAGGCAACTGACCTGTAATCATTTGCATTTCAACATATGTAGCTCAAAAGCAGAGCAGTAAGTTACCCTACATGCTCTTTTATTTGAATTCCACAGGAAGTTACTCACTGTATTATGTTTTTGTAATATGAGTGCCCTAAAGAAATAGCTCATACTACAATAAAATGTTCACACAACAAATGGAAAGAAATAATCCTTGCAGTGAATGGCTTTGATTTAAAAAAAAAAATGGAAAGAGATAACTTTCAAGAGTGAGCTATTTAAATTACATTATGTATGCAGGGATACTCCCTTTCTGAGGATAACAATAACTAGTTCCATTCATCGAATACTTCATGTAGCAGGCACTGTGCTTAATACTTGACAGACGTTATCTCCAATTAATCTTCCCACCAGTCCTACAAGGTGGATATTATCATCCCTATTTTCAGATGAGGAAAGCAAAGCTTATTCTGCAAATATTTGTTGAGTAACTACTATGTGCCAGTCCCTATCCTATGTAAACTTAAAGCTTAGAGAGATGAAGAAACCTGGAATTTGGACACTGGCCTGTCCCTGCTCTTATCAGGACCCCATCCTGCCTCACTGGAAAGAATGTTTAAAGCAAACATTTCATGCATTTGTGTCATAAAATGTCTTCACCTTAGTTTCTTACAGATTTTAGTAACGTCTTTCATCATATGCAACTCTAAAATCATTAAACTTTATACACATAGGAGAAACTAGAGAAGATCTTTATATTTTCCAAAATTTGCATTTTTCTCAAACAAAATATTTGAATTGATATAGAAATGCATGCTCTTTCTTAAGCTGTGTGTCAGCCAGGAAAATACTAATACTTTTGAAAAATCTCATAGGCAAAACAAAATTCACATACAAAAGACACGTCACCATGTAGTTAACCTATTGTCTCACGTGAGATAAAATTGGAGCCTAAGTCTCATCTTTCTCTCTGGAAAGAAATAGTTGAATAGTCTCTAGGGATTACTTTTTCTTTTTTGTGAAAAATAAATATGTTTTAGAGAATGTAAAAGGAGAAAATGTTTTCCTAGAGGTGATGATGATTACATCTTGCGGGTTTTCTGTAATAGTGATAGATCTACATGGATAGAGCTGTGAAGTTTGGATGTATGTGAGGTAGAGATTGCACCATGAGCAATCTCTAGTTAGTCATCTTGCAACTTTTCCAGGGTGATGTAACTCCATTTTGAACAAATGCTATTTTGTTAAATAAATGTCTATTTAAACTTGTATACAAAGGTTATAATTATAGCAGGAAATTGTTGGGGGCAGAGGAGGTTAAATCTAGTTATCCTGTCATACATTAGGAATGATTTCTTGGAAACCTAGTTCAGATTTTCTACTGAGGTTTGTTGTTTTCCTCTGCTGTAGTTCAAGCAATAATGTTTCAATATTTTGGTTCTAACAGATATCTGTTGAGGAGGTGAGGAGGGCTCAGAAGATAACTGATTCAGCCTTTTCTGCTGATTTTGCACTGAGGAGGTCAAAAAGACAGTAGAAACTGAAGATGTCAGGTGGTGCTTGTGGCTCAGTGAGCAAGTAAGGCACTGGCCCCATATACCAAGGGTGGCAGATTCAAACCCGGCCTTGGCCAAACCGCAACAAAAGAATAGCCGGGTGTTGTGGCGGGCGTCTGTAGTTCCAGCTACTTGGGAGGCTGAGGCAAAAGAATCGCCTAATCCTAAGAGTTTGAGATTGCTGTGAGCTGTGAAGCTCTAGCACTCTACCAAGGAGTGACATAGTGAGACTCTGTCTCAAATAAATAAATAAACAAGTTGTCAATGAGATACTTTACATTCTTTTTTTTTTTTTTTACTAAGTCTTTGAAATCTGGCATGAGCTTTACACTTACAATACATCTCAATTTGGACCAGCCAACCTCATTTTAAGTGCTCAGTAGCCATGTGGCTAGTGGCTACCATTTTAGCCTGCGCAGGTCTGGAGATCTGAGGACACTATTCTTTGAATAGCTATGCTTAGAGCACTCCTTTGTTAAACAAGAGGGGAAAAGTAATTCTGCTCAAGGCAATAGCAGCCTCTATGTTTAAATACGCTTTTTGCTGCCACCTGCAAGAAAAATCCTTCAGCCTCATTTGATCTTCCCAAATTCATCCAACCACAGAGAATGGTTGCACCGCTCTTGGGTTTAACAAAAGCAATGAAAGAAAAAAAGCTATTGTTAACCTCCCCCCAATCACTTTCTTTTCTTTTGGTGGCAAAAGGAAGGATAGTCTTTTTCTAAATCAATTCACAAATACTTACCACGTCAATTCTATGTACAAAACATCTGTGGTAGTGGTACTCTAACCCATTATTAACAGTTCATTTAACGCTTAATTCCTGAAATGTGACCATTGCTCACATTACTTTCACAGATCAATTAACTTCATTTTCAAAGTTATTCCTCTGGTTCTCAGGACAAACAAAAATGAATAAAAGTTGATACTGAAAATAGCATACAATTTGCTTCTTTTTTAAAAGGTTGGTTTATCCTTTGGATGGCATAATTAGCACTGGACAGCGTTAGACTGTCTCTCTTCAATTATGTATATTTTTAATACAGCAAGTATATTAACCAGAACAATTGATCATCGGGGAAATAATTTACCTTAAACCAACCAAATTGACAAACATTTTTTCGCTATAAGATGTGGTAATGTGGCGCTGCAATGTAAATGAAAGATAAATTAAGCGTTTTGTACACAAATGCAGAAGAATACACAACTCTTTATCTTCAAACTTCTGCAAGCATGTTTTATCATAGAGCGTTATACAGAAGGTGCTACCAAATTAGCTGAGTTTGAGCCCAGGTTGAATTTGCAGCACCTGAATCAAGCATGCTGAGGGACGTGACAAAAGCACGAACCCAGTGGCCTTATCTGCCTCCTCCCCCAGACCACGCTGAGCCTGTCCAGATGTTGCCCAACCTGAGCTGTCCCCCTGAGTCCAAGGTTGCTGGAGAGGGCGCGCAGCAAGAATTTCCGGCTGACTTTTCAGGCTCCCTAAACAGTTGGAACCTCTCCAGGTGGCCACGAGGCTTCCCAGCCTCAAGTGCCAAGGGGAGCACTAGCGAAGGCAGCAGAAAGAGTCCAACACTTGCCTCTAGCAGGCCCAGAGAGAAACCTCGCACCGCCCAGGCAGACCTGGCTCGGCTAGTTGTGAGGCTCTAAGCTCATCCCCACACCTGCGTTAGGGAGGCAGGTGAGGGCTCTCCAGGTATCCGGGTCCCGGATGATGAAAGGAAGCTGTGAATAGGCGTGCACCGGGAGCGCAGCTGGGGAAACCCTGTGGTCGCTGGGCGTGGAAGGACAAGGATGCCGGGCCACGGCCTGAGGAACTGAAGGGACAGGCTAGCCCGGAGATTTCCTTTGCTTTTTTCTTTCCCTTGCAGGGCGGTTAGCTAGGGGCTGCATTAGCTTTCCACTGAGCCCTGCGACTTTCTACACATTTCTGCCCTGGTGCACTGAGCGCGTAGCGGCACCTGGCGCGGTGTACACGGAGTCTAGTTCTCCTGGGACTCACTCTGGATGTCCAGGCCTTTCCCCCTAAGCCCTCCTGGTCCTCTAAGGCTCAGTCGTCAACCGAGGTTGGGGTTTCCTTAACCCTGGGCTTTCCCATATTGGGGAGGAGGAGGAGTCAGAACCCCTCCCCTCCCTCTCTCCTCCTCCTCCGCCCACAGCCGGCCTGATTTTTTAATCTAATCTCTTATTTAAAGTCAACAGAGGAGCAGGAACCCCGCGCTCCTGCCTACGAGATATATTTTAATAACTCCCCAACCTCTGCTGGCAGGGGCAGCCTTAAGAAACCTCCCTGTTTTCCTCTTCTTGAAGATTGAGGTAGCAGGGAGTGGGAAGTGTCGAGGGTCGGGGCTGAAGGCCGAGGGCTCCGCGCGCTTGTGGGGGAGGATTGGGGGAAACTCGTGCAAGACGAATGAATCCCAAATATAAAAAAATTAACACAAGAGCCCACGGATCAAACCGGTAGCTGAGCCTGCATCCCAGGCACTACGCCTCCCGTGTCCCCGTCGAGGGGGGGGGCAGGTGAATGCCCAGCGTGTGACCCTGGAGAGGGAGAGGCTTGGGCCATTACGGGATGTGCCTGTACTGGGCGTGCTCTCACGCATCCCCAGAGGAGACAGGCTTTGCCCCCTCCCTAGGTTCTTGGCACCAGACCGTGCCCCTGGTGCCATGCCCATCTTCCTCCCTAGCTGGGCGGGGACCACTGTTGTCTCTCATTCGCAAGGAGTCTCCTCTGACCTGCTTGGATCCTTGGCAATTAGAGGTACCTAGACGTTAGCCCCTCTCGCCTTTCCCATTTCTTTCCCCCGCCTCCCTCCGACGCCCCCAGATCTCTTGGGCTCGCCCTTCCTGAAAGTAGGCGAGGCCCAGCGGCCCTGGCTGGGGCGCAGAAGAAGACGGGTGGGAAGGGGGAGGAGCGGACGCGGCGGCCCGGGGGCGTGCCTTCTGCTAGCCCAGCCCCTGGGTGCGCGCGGCGGTGGCGGCGGCGGCCGGGCCTCGCTCTGAGAGACAGGTATCGCTTAGGCGCCATGTTGTGAGCGGAAGTGGGGGAGCGCGCGGCGGTCGCTGTTCTGCGAGCGGGCGCGGGAACCGGCGGGGGGAGGGGGGCGGAGCCGTAGTCCCGGCGGCGGAAGGAGGAGAGGAAGAAAGGGGCGAGACCCAGTGCCCCGCGGCGGCTGCAGCGCGAGGTTCTCGCTCGACGCGCGGGCGTCTCTGGCTAGGCGCGCGGTGTTCGGGCGGTCGGCGTCTAGCCCACTCCCGGGCAGCCGCCGCTGCTGCTGCTGCTACTGCTGCTGCCACTGCCGCTACCGTGGGGCTCGGGCGGCGACAGAGCGGGGCCGGCCGCGGGGCGGGCGGGGAGGGAGGAGGCGGTGAAGGCAGCGGGCCGGGGGGGAAGATGCCGCTGGCGCAGCTGGCGGACCCGTGGCAGAAGATGGCTGTGGAGAGCCCGTCCGACAGCGCTGAGGTGAGTACGGCAGGGCGGCCGGGGCGGGTCGCACTGTTCCCCGGAGCTGGCCACTCGGCCCCCTCTTCTCTCACTCGCGTCTTCCCTCTGTTGGGAATCTCGGTTTGGGGTGTTGGGGTTGATCCGTTTGCTCGTCTGGCCGTTCCTCTCACCCGCACCTTCACCCACTCACCTCCCTCCCACTCGGGGGGCTGCCGGTGTGTGGTGCGTGGGGTTTGGAGTGGGCGCCGGGGCTCTGCGAGAAGCCAATTTTAATCAACTTTGCGTGGGGAACGCGAGAGGCGGAGCGGGGGCCGGCGGGGAGTAGGGAAGTTTGGCCCTGCCGGGTCGGGGGCTTCCCCAGACCTTCCTGACTTTGGAGCCTAAGGGCGGGGTATGGATCGGGTCCACCGGGGAACGGGGACACGCGCGGGTCTGGCCGAGGGAGGGAGTTGCTGCGGGAAGATGGGCGCGCGAGGCAGGGTGGCAACCTGCGGGGGGTTTGGGTAAGGGGGTGCAGGACAGCTGAGGGTTTTGCCTCCCCCATCTACTGCAGCGGTTTCTCCTGCTGCAAAGGAGAAAGTGGAAGCCTGAGGTCCCCCACCCCCTACCTTGTCGTTTCTGAGGTCGCTGAGCTCAAGGACCCGGTCCCTGCGAGTTTAACTTGTTTCCTGTCCATGGAGGTGAGAGGGTGATATTCAAGGAGATCAGCAGCCACCGTAAAGGGCTTTCTGGTTTTCCTCACCCATAATCTGGTGACCGTCCCTGAGACACCCGCCCGAGTGCCCCAAACCCAAACAATACACCCAAATGGGGCAAAACAGAATCTCCCGGGATACATCGCTGCACTTAGCTTTTCGCAGCCGCCCCTGTCCCAGAATCAACTCGGGGTCTGTGAAAATAATCCAGACAAGACCCATTCCAGGGTATCAGCGCTCCTCTCCGGAGTGCAAAATCAGTTCCTGATGGTGGCGCGTCTGTGATTCTTCCTTCTTGACTTTTTGCTGTCTTCTATCCCCACATCGTACTTTGAAGGATTACAGGATGATGGGCTTCGTGTGTGTAATAGTTACTGAGTGAGTGACCCCATTTCTGGAAAGCATGACTGAAGCGCGGGGGTGGAATGGGGCAGGCTCTGATGAGTGGTGGACTTGGCGGCAGCCGCTGCCCTGCCGGCCTCCGCAGTGTGCGAGGTGGATAGGGTTACTGGTTACGTCAGTAAAACCGAGGCTCAGTTTGATCTGAGATGCGGGACACTTGCATTCTCGGGTATAATGGAGGGGGAGGGGGCGGATCAGTTCAAATCGTTTTTCGGTTTTTTCCCAGTCACCATCACTGCCGTATAAAAATGTTTACTTGTTTTCTTTAACGCAAGCAGGGTTGTAATAGTGTTTACAATGGGTGCTTAGTATTTTGCGACTTGGATCGTACTTGTGAAACCTAAACAAATGCTGCTCTTCAATAGAAAGGACATGGATACACATTGAAAGAAAGAAAGGGAGAAGAAGAGAAAGAAAGAAAATCATGTGTCGAGACTGGCAGAATCATAAGAATTTTATTTTAAATTATCAGCCAGTTTAATATTAGAAATCTTTTATAAGAAAGTCAAATCTAGAATGTTTAATCATCCTTTCGATGGATAGTATGAAAAACAATATGCGAAGGAGCTCTTTTCATTTTTTTCATTCAGGGATTTTTTTCCCCATTAAACAATATAGCTAAAAGGTTGATAAAATGTTCTCAAAGTGTTGAACTAGTGGAAAGAAATTGAATTTGCTTTGAGCCTGATTTTTAGATACATACATTAACAATTGCAACTAAGGATCTATCCTCATTTCTGCTTGGCACTTATCAATATGTAGGAAAAATATCATTTAAAATTCCACCTTATCCCGGTCCAGCGCAGTGGCTCAAGCCTGTAATCCTAGCACACTAGGAAGCCGAGGCTGGAGGATCGCTTGCCCCCAGGAGTTTGAGCCTAGCCTGGGCAAGAGCATGCCCCATCTCTGCTAAAAATAGAAAAACTAGCTGGGCATGTGGCTGGTGCCTGTAGTTCCAGCTACTCTGGAGGCTTAGGCAGGAGGAACCCTGGAGTTTGAGGTTGCTGTGAGCTAGGCTGAGGGCATGGCACTTTAGCCTGGGCAGCAGAGTGAGACTCTGACTTAAAAAAAAAAAAAATCCACCTTACCCTAAGGCTGTGAGCTAGGCTGAGTGCATGGTACTTTAGCCTAGGCAGCAGAGTCGACTCTGACTTAAAAAAAAAAAAATCCACCTTATCCTTTATTCAATACATTTGGATAAGGAAGGCACAAAGCTGATATTTATTTAGCACTTACTGTGTGCCAGGTACTATGCTACATACTGTTTCATTTTACTTTTCCCATGACCCAGCAGGGTAGGCTTATGGTCCCATTGTTACAGATGAGGAAACCAAATCTCAGAAGTTAAGTGCATAAAGATTATAAATGGTAATGGCAGATCCATAATTCAAAGCCAGGTTGATAAATTCATGTGTTTTTGCTTTATATTTGGATAGCTGCTTCAAATCTTCTGTGGAAAAATTCAGAATATGAATAAATAAGCCAGTAGTTAGAGGTCATGTATTTTTCAGAAACAGAGTATCATAAGAGGTCTCATTTGGTTAAAGCCTTGTTATTTCAGTGTTATCATGTCGTCCAGAACTTGGCAGATAGGATTCCATAATTTGCCATTTTCTAAGAATTTTCTTGCTATTCTGACATAAGGTATGTCTAACAGAGCCAGTGTTGCCTAGATTTATTAAAACTAGAGTGTAACAAGTTACCTTTAGATATTTTTGACTCTGTCAGTTCAGCTGTTTCAAGTAAAATACTTCTGATCTAATTTGTAGTTATTGATGCCAATGAGAAAAGGGTTGAGAAGTTCCACTCAGAGGTCTAATATGGATGCTCACTATTGTGCTATCTCTTGCACCGTAGGTCCCTATCACATAATAATTGTATTTTACCAGAGTAACATCTTTTTATTAAAAAGTCATTTACTTGAGTAAATGCATCATTTTTTTCCCTCCAGGCTAAAGGATTTCAGAGTTGGTCTTTTATAGGAATTACAGTCCCATCCCTAGTAGACTGTCACCTTTTAAGAGAAGATAGATACTTTTGTTTTTTTCTCTCTAAATTCTGAGCGTTCAACACAACGCCTGGCACTTACATATATAGATTCAAGAAATGCCTACTGAATTGTGTAGGTCAGTAACAGGATGATTATGAATCTTATCTGTTTTTATTTTAATCTTGATGTTGAAATATGAACAATTTTAAAAGACCTGAGTGCCTTACTAAAAACAGTTTTCTTCAGTTATTCCTTTACACCGACCTTCCTGCTTTAAGACCTCACACGAGTCTCTCATGGTGCTCAAAACAAAAAAACCCTTGTGGTTGAGCTCAACGTGGGTCAGAACATGATAGGCTAGAACTAGGTTGAATGTTTAAAGAAGCAAATTTAGGATTATAAAGGAAGTACTATGTAAGCAAGTAAGGGTTAGTACAAGATAAAAAGCAAAGTAACTTCCTAAGTGTTCGAGTGGATTCAGAACTCTTCAACAGGTTATTTAAAGATGATAGTATGCTTTTGAATCTTTGACATTTCAGGAGATGGATAGCAAGGAATTGTGACTCTTCTGTTCTACAGATTACTTGCCACTGTTGTCAGGGACAGAATTTACTGGATCATGACCCTGACCTAGTGTGAGACACTTTTTTCTGAGTTGCAGTAGAATAGGTATAAAATTAGTAAATTCAAATATGAATGGTTGAGGTTTTTAAAATAACAAAATTGAGATTTTGCTTTACAGAAATGTGTTATATAAAAATGGTCACAATATAATGTGTTATATACAGTAGTTTATACAGTGTTTTATACAATGTGTTGTCTGAAAATAACACCTTGATTTCCTTTAACAAGTATCCACAAGACATTGAAAAATATTAACTATAAAAATATTTTATTATAAAAAAAGAGACCCTTGTGTTGGTGGTCATATTTAGTGAATGTACAGCCATTTTTAACCTCAAAGATTATATAATCTGCTATATATTACATAGATTCTATTTCTACTACATCAGTATTATATAGATTTCTTTTGTCTATAGAGAAAACGTTCTATTAAAGTATTGATCATTGATTTTGTAAAAAAAATGTTTTATTAAGTTTCCTTTTCCTGTTTCATTTTTACCACCTTTCAGGTTTTTTTCTTTCCCCCAAGTGAAGATCTGAGGAGAGGACAGGTATTGTTACATGTTAACTGTCAAGTGACTGTGACACATTATTGAACACTTCATTCTTTTTCAGTGATTATTATATAGGATGTCAGTTTTTTAAAATCTGGGAAAGTTTGCTTTATTTTGCCAGCTTGATCCTGTACTAATCGGGTAGATCCAAAATGTGAAACTTCCTAGGTACATTTAAATTTTAAGATAAAGAGAGAAACTTTTATCTTACTAAAGAACCATGTATAAGCAAACTGTGTCTTTAAGTACATTTCTGGAAATCATAACGTGTTTTGAAGAGTGGCATAATTAGGCTGTACACTCCTGACCAAGGACTCATTCAGTAAGTTATAGATAGAATGATCAAACATGTAGCAGATTATCTAGAATTCTGAATTGCAGAAAAATTGCCCTGAAGTATTTTTTTAGTTTATTGTCCACTGAAAAAATTATACCATTGTGATAATTAACGAGATTTGCTCTACAGGTCTATGCTCAGGGACATGTGATGTTCCAGGCTGTGAATTATGGGTGAAGTCAGAGTGGCCCAATTCACCCAGTACAGAATGGGCACTTTAGACCCAGTGGTTCAGGTTATATGGAATGATTGACACATTGGTGGTCTCCCTGGTAATGCATGAGTGTGGTAGTACTCAGTTGTTTATGTAGTACTCAGTTATTTGTCTCAGTGAATAACAAATCTAAAGCTTTGGAATACAATTATGCAAATACATATTTTATGTGTACACATACCATTCCCCAGTTGACATACTA